CCGAACTAGTGTTTTGATCTTATTCGGAAAGAGGCGACGATGCCAGATGTACTACCGGTATGCAGGGAAAGAATGTTCATGTACTAATTCCGTGGTCCTGTTTGACTTACTTGATCCGTTTAATTTGTCTGTTATACTATCGTCGCTAAGCTTTTTTCTGGGAGAACATAACTTGTGAATTTATGAGCTGATGACAACGTTTTAAGGGAAGTGCTGCGTCAACCTCCTTGAGGCCATTTTTTCTTGAAATTTTATTTTTGAACCAATTTAAGCTCCATACGAGAGTGATGAATGCCGATTGGCCCATTGCACACGGGCCCTGAAATAATACTATCAATAAAAGGCTCAGCTGTTCCAGGCTAATAGGACTGTTTTCTGGTGTCTTACTCATTCATATTTTTACTTCCTCATATTTTAGTTCTAGATGTTTCCAAAATGTAGGTACCGTGGTCTTCCTAAATATACTGTTACCAGTTTATTGTACTATAATTTATAGGAGAAACCACAAAGCTCACGTCGCTGGTTCACAATATTGTCTACTTATACATAATACAATTGTAAGAATATTTATACTATCTCTGTACAATGTAATCCTATGACCAATAATGAAAGACACCGACTGTATCTCGGCAACTGCTTAACTTAGAGCTAAGGATATTATAAAGGGTGTCCCAAAATTAACGCAAGATTTGAATTAAATAGAAAATGCCATTTTTAGTCTTTTAATAGTTATATTTTTATTGACTCATAAAGTACATAGGATAGGGTTATGTATGGAATAACACATCGGACAAATGGCCTCCACGGCTTTGCATGCACATGCGCACTCTTTTGTCGAAATTTTCCATGACCCTTCTGCATAAATGTGGCTGAATTTCGTTGATGCAGCGTTGAATCTCCTCCTTTAATGCACGGGTGGTTGTAGGCTTGTTGACATAGACTTGTGATTTCAAATAACCCCATAAAAAGAAGTCTAATGGTGTTAAATCACACGATCTAGGAGGCCAATTTTGATCACCGAAACGAGAGAGTACACGACCGGGAAATGTCTCATGCAGTAATTGAATTGTTTCACGGGCTGTATGACATGTGGCACCGTCTTGTTGAAACCACATATTGGGTACATCAATATCATTCAATTTTGGCAGAAAGAACTGTGTAATCATGTCGCGATATCGAGCACCAGTAACAGTCACTGCTTGACCAGCATCATTTTCAAAAAAATATGGCCCAATTATGCCTCCAGCCCAAAATCCACACCAGACAGTCACGCGTTGTGGGTGCATTTCTTTTTCGACAATCACACGTGGGTTCTCCGAACCCCAAATGCGGCAATTTTGGCGATTGACAAAGCCATCAAGATGAAAATGTGCTTCATCGCTTAGGATGATTTTGCTTGAAAAATCAGGGTCCATTTGTTGATGTTCAATAATCCATTCAACAAACTCTCTTCTCTCTGCATGGTCATTAAGCTTCAATTGTTGTGTTAATTGAAGTTTGTAAGCATGAAGACACAGATCTTTGGTGAGTATACGCTGTAGAGAGGTTCTTGACATTTGCAATTCTTGTCCACGACGTCGAATTGAGGTTCCTGGATTGTCCGCAACACTCTCACGCACTGCTTCGATATTCACATTTGAACGGCTTGTTTTTGGACGACCAGTGTGTTTGGCGTCTCCAACGGATCCAGTCTCCATGAATTTTTCAATTAATCTCTTCACAGTTAACGAAGTTAAAACACTATGTCCGGCCAAGAGTTGTATGAAATATTTCGAACTGCAAGCCGCAGCTTTCACTATATTTTGAAATATTCTTTATAATGAAGAACAACGTTGTTCTAGCGTTAACGCTCCGTTTTTCATAACCTATACTGTAGCTGTCAATTGCCTTTTTTTTTCAGGTTGCCAACACTTCACTGCACAAAGTGGCGGCAAATTCAAATCTTGCGTTAATTTTGGGACACCCTTTATGATAAAAGTGGCCAAGAAAAATTGCTGGAAATTATCTTCAGCTTCCTAAAATGGGCGTTCGGTGGCGTTAATCCAATTAAAAAACACAAATTTGGTAAAAATCGTAATACAAATATTCATTGAGCAGCCTTATCGTGTAGACCGCTCAATTTACGAAATTTTGTTTTGGGTGGGGGAAAGGGTTAAACGTCAACCCAAAAAATGTCACATACTCGTAACCTGTGCTCAATCTTGTCAGATTAGTTCAGGTTGGGGCCGGATATTAGAACTGCGTCATACTGGATTTAGGATGACGTCGACTTACTCATTGTGTCTCTCTTATCAAGCTCTTTTATTTGTCACCCATTCATGGAGGTGACTATGGGAAGTATAAATATCCATTTTGCATCAACGCCATATTGGATTAAAAATGATGCCAATTTCCTTATTGTGCCTACCTTCAACATAACCCTGCTGTCATTGAAAACACTAGTTTTTTCCCAGTATGCATTTTGGGCAGATGCATTGGAAAAATACGTAAGGCGTTGGCTGTTTTACGCAAATTTTAATAGCTATAGTTATAGTCTATAGACAATACAGAGAAAAAAACTGAAGTAATGCAGTAGTTCAGTCAGCCGCTGATGAATGGCGTGTATGCTTTCTCGATAAGTTAGTGGTGCTCTAGTAGCTAATAAAGAAAAAATAATAGTTTTATTCGCTATTTATACCTGGATATTGGTAGGCGGCTTCTAGAATATTCACAGCATTGTACAATCATAGTTTTGGTTATAGCATGGCGGGTTAAGTATAGAGAACACAACGAATTGCCTTTAATTGCCGCATTGATTTTATGATTATAGAGCGATAGAGGTGCAGCACTTCTCACGTATATTCGGTATTAAATATTCAAATGAAGGATTGCCACGCTAATTGCGCAAGGATATTAAAGCTGATTTTCATGTAAGAGTGGCAGCTGTAAGCTGTTGTTTGGCTGTCATGATCTCATATTTCTGATGTACGTTATAAAACATATGGATGTTAGATTTGGAGAGAAATTGACTTTATAATATCGAATTATGGCAAGCGCTCAATAATGCTATTTTGACGCTATGCAGAATTCACTGCAGACTATAGCAATGATGACAGCGAAAGAAAAAATGACATATAACTACACGTAGTCTTCATATAGTCAGTGACAAGGGATATAGTATACACAGTAAAACTGTTTTCATTTGAATGCCATTGAAAAAAACTGTAATCGACTGTTTGTAGACTCTTGATTGTGTGCAACGGCAATATTATGGCAAAATTGACGAGGTCTACTATACTATGGAATTTTGGGGCTCGGAGTCGAGACCAGACAGCTCAACTCTGATTGGTTAATTAAAACGGCTTGACCTACAGATTCAGCGTAAGAGAGTGGATGGGCAACCAAGTCCCTCTTTTGTATGTAGGTATTCACGATTTGTGCACAGATGCTTAGCCTGAATCCCCTAGGCCAACACATAGCAGGATGCTAAACGAGGTAAGTATCTTTGCTCACGGGTATACACCTGAGAGAGGGAGGTTTCATATAGTTATAGCGGCTGAGGCGATCTTAACTAGGATCTAGCTTTCTAGCGAGCCCCTTTGGCTAGATACCTAGATTGAGTTCCTGACCAAGTTGGGCAACTCTGAGGTCAGACGGGGAGGTCCACTATCTCGTCGAGGCCTGACCAGTCCTCATTTCATTGATTTGTGATAGTTTTAGCTTAGATGATGACTCAGCCTGTAGGTTAGACGATAGTGAGTACTTTTGCGTCCTAACGTTTATATTGTATGACTTAGTAAAACATAATAATTGTTCATGTTATAAATCACATAAATTTCAAGTGAGTTTAAAAAGGTGAAAATAATTCTGGGTTTCCGTCGTCAACGCACAAGATCCTTGGATGAACAACTGCAGTATTGCCTTCAGGCGCTCTCTGCCCATCACATGTGATGGATTCTGGATATTTTGAGGTTATACCGTAGCTGCTGGAGTTTTAATATGAGACACTAAAAAATGTGTAATTGCATTTCAATTCTAAGAAACAGAGATGTTTCCGAAAAACTGGTCTGGACAATATGATCTATGATTATCCATTTCCCGTTTGTTCAAAATTTTGCAAATTTGTATCTACCAGCTCCCAAAATATTTGATATTGAAGGCTTCTGGGTAACGTTGTATATTCATCAAGCGACATGTAACTTGTTTTTCATGGATTAACCCTACAAGAAAAAGAATTGCAGCATAGAAAACTATCCAAAAGTTATAATGATTACCCGACTGTTGGATTGGAGAAAAATTGAAAACAAAGTATGGAGACCATAACCTTTGTAAAAGTATAGTCCTGTGGTTTTCATCATAAAGGAAGAGTGTAAAAGTTCTCAGATTGGTATGATCGTCGATATAACTGGAATACGTCATTTTACGTTGCTCACATTATGACAACAAAAAATCAGTTTCTTTTTTTACATTGTAGACCAACCCTGTTGATATATAATTTTAAATTGTTTGCAGGAGATAATACGATCTCATCATCATTTAGCAGGACCTTCCTTGGTGTGCCATAAACTACGAAGATATTCCACTGTTGAATCGATTCAACTTGTAAATGTAATTTATAACCACCTAATTAATTGTTAATGGCCGGACTAACAACAAGCGCACATAATTTACAATAATGGCCCAATCATTCACGTCTATCCTTGATGACCATAATTGTTACTGAAGCTATAGATGCACATAGCCGATTGTAAGCAGCGACCATCTGCTACCACCATGTTCTAAGCAACCACAATAAGTACAATTGCATTTAAGTCAAACGATAGGTGCTTTTTCGAAGTAACCTTGAGACGCTCTTCAGGTGATCTCACAAAAACAAACTTATTCAGACTGAAGACCTTTGCCACATGAGTGGATCAATGGCTCGACATCCAAATCCGTGACTTGCGGTCTCGAAGATATGACTTTTCAAATTTTCGCATGACCAATCTGAAGACGATCTTAAATAATCAATAGAAACTCACCTATCTCTTGAGGCCTCTTGTTAGGTATCCATTGATAAATCGGTGTGGGATGTTCATTGAAAAACCATTTCACTACTAGACCTTCATCTCTGGACTCTTCTAATGTGTAGTCACAGTCTAACACCACTGAGTCTCCTAATTGTGCTATTTGTGGTACATCAAGTCTATTGATTTTCACACTGTGGACTGTCTTTGTACTTCTTAGGAATCCTGAAACAAGAGTTACACGTATAGGCATGGACAGAAGGCTATACTTTACCATATTATTATTCAGTTTTTATCATTCCGCAATATTTTTGTCGGATCGACATAATACTCTTAAAAAAGTGTTTTCTGCTGCTTTGTTTTTATTGCTGAACCGTTCCAGCTGTGCCATGAAATAAATGCGGGTATATTTAAAATTAATTGTATCGGATACACCAAAAATTTATAATCATAGTAATATACGAAACAATATTATAAATAACACTTGTGATTTATCTATAAAAACAACTATATGTTTTGACAATTAAATGGAAATTAAAACCGATAACCGTGGCATGCATAATAGAGTAAACAATGAGTTATTTCATTGCTATAACAATATTATAAATCTGTACGGCCCTAATTGTTTTTGTTAGTCATAGCAACTTTGTGTTTGTTCGTATCTGTGGAGCTGTTTCACCTGATATATCTGTTGTTTTAATTTTAGTGTTCCAAGAAATGGTCCGACGAAATGAAATTGACTGATTTGTTTCATTTCCCATGTCAAATGCGTTATTATGTTTCAGGATGTTACATAATACAAACATATAAGTGGTAAGATAACAAAGTTAATACGAAAAATCATTTGTGTCGGACTGTTTGTCCGCCTATTTGTCGGTCTCCCGGTCTCTCGGTCTGTTTGACTGACCGCCAATCTCTGGCCCCTCTCTACGTTGAAAATGTCACTCGGAAGCTTTGTAGTTTCCAAAAATCGTCAAAACTACGTTTCTTGATGCTTTAGAGTCTCCTGCTAATTTTCAGAAATCTTTTTGTAAACATTGAATCTTCGGTGTCAGCAAAAAATCTATTATTGAAAAGCTTCAGATCCCCATAATATCACATATCTGTTAAAAATAAGAAGTCACACATCCCATATTACACCTAGGACACATCATAGGTTTCTCGTAACTTGGAATCATAGAGAAAGGTTTTCAATCCGCGTACTCGTGCTAAGAAAGCTGAAGGCACGGCGGACCGGTTCAACTGACTCATCCATCTCTAGTGCAGTGCACAAAACATACACGGAATGAACTACAACTCGCTGCACCGGCACCACGGTGGGCTCTGCCGCACATATGTCAGATGGTAACTACCGGTAGGGCAGGGAAGGAATGTTTCTCTGTTATACATGTTCGTGTTGGGTTCGGAAATTGAAAATGATCTAAAGATGACAGAATTGCGCCGGTCGTACAGAGTCAATCTACTTGACGCCTTTTTTAATACCGACGAGGCCCCGAAGGCAAAAGCTCCGAAATACTGAAGTTCCAGTACCGCAGTAGACAGGATGAAAATATATTGATGATCCGACTTTTACTTTATCTTTCATTATTGGAACTAAGAGAACTCTTTCTGATCAGCTTGTTCCACGCAACATGACTTGTAATTGTGCAAGACATATAATAGTTGTAGTTGCCTTACTTTTTTATATCTCTGGATAGGAATAGGTAGGCCAGAAGCTACTCTCAGGCAATTTCCCTAGTGCCTAGTGCAATTTTCAGACACCGCCAGATAAGCAATCGGCTACGGAAGATCGCGCGTACCGCCGTTTACAGCGTCAAGCGGTGGCGATAAATCGAGAGGTACTTCGTACAGGTTTGGATTTATCGGATTTTCCCAACAATTTCCAAAAGCTGTTAACAATTATGCATAGTAGACGAGATCAGAACTGCTTGTAGCAAGTCAAGAACAAATCATTAATTTCATTGATTTGTATGGATGACTATTTGATAGTCTGTAATAGTAAGAACTTGCTAAGCGAATAATTTAGTAAAACGATCGATTCGCTAACGCCGAGAGTTAACTAAGTAGTACATAATTAATAAAGGATAACGCATTAACAAGACTATATAATGTATGTTGGGTTGTTCTTACCATAGTGTCACGGCCCCAAAATCACGTAACCTTTTTTTTACTATTTATCACTTATCAGTAATTTGAATTTCTGTGCATTGATAATAGGGTGCCCATTCCTAGGCCAAACCCTTTTCAATGATTTTCTTTTGGCAAATCGAACAGTTTATTGATTGTATAATTTCACTCGTATTATATCTTTCTTTCTCAGCGATTCAGTCTGGTGTTGACGATCAGCAAAAAACTCTGTAGTTTTTCTTCGTTAGTTGGTTTCCTATAGCACATATCTTCTTCAAGGCCACTCAAGATACCTTCTTCTAGAACATTACGTGTTCTACGTGATTCGCTTTTCTGTTTCCGTTGAGGTCGTGATGCAGGGATCGTTTCGTCATTTTCCGGACTCTGGGATATTAGGCCCCAAGCGCCAATTCATGGACTAGCACCCTTTTTTTGTGTAACTTAAGTTTAGTCATTTTGGTTTGGGTGCTACGTCTTCCATTTTTTTATGGGATTTTGACCGTCAACGGTAAGTTCTTTTTTATATACGTCCAGACTACGTGCCTTAATGCGTGTCCTGATGACGTTCGTTGAATATCCTCTTTCTTTTAGTCAAGAGAGGCAGAAGAGAATCATCATCCTTTCTCCTCCAGTTGGTTGCATCTTGTTGCAGTTTTGCAAATTGATGGAAGCCATCCCCTTGAAATAAAACCCTGATATGAACAGATAAATTTTTTATTTAGGTGCAAAATATCTGTAAATACTTGGGGCGTATACCATGGTTGACGTTACGCGAGGTTATTTTGTTAAATAATTTTGTCAGGTAGTGTTTAAGATTTATAACATCCTCTCTGTTTTTTATAAATCGCACATCAGTAGTGGAGCACAAGTGCGTTTTTTTATTAATCAATATATTGTGATTCATTTAATATTGTTCTATTTGACTATTTCTGAGTGTACTGTTACTTAAATTTCGTCATCTGAGTTAGATTCTCTTTTTGTGTGGTAGTCAAGCAAAACAAGTTCCGACTAACGTCTCAGGGAGTTGTGGCTTAAATCGTCCTAAGTAACTGGCGCTCTTAACCCGCCCCTACTCCCCGCTTTAATGAGCTAGGGCCTAAATTTGCATGCCACTAGACAACTGCTTTGCTTGGATCAACCGTTGGAGAGTATTTATCATTGTGTTTTATTAATTAACCAAAAAAAGGCGGGGCAATGGAGTCCTCTCGTAATTCTGCCTGTACTGTTACAATATTAAGAATGAACATTTTTACAAAAATACATATGAATCACTTTATTACAATTTAATATCTAACTTATTTCCATATAGCGGCTCTGAGCTAAGCAGAAAGTGCGAAAAAACCGGTGCCGGAAAGAAGGTACCAATAACTTGTACAGTAGAGCAACCGTATCGCATTGGTATCTCGCTGCTTTCAGTTAGGATTAAATATATTAAACTTGCTGCGGTAACCCAGTGAGAACCTATAGTTCTGACGAGAAATAAGATCTATTGGAAAATACACTTGAAGTTTGGTTTCAGTAAATTCATAAGCTGGAGGGATGTGTCTTATACCATTGGTCGATCTATGGGAGTTATGCTAACGCTACATAAGTTGTAAAATTAATCAAATACGGCTCACAGACATTTTAGCTACACAGAAATTCTAAGCGTTGTCAGCGATCTATGCAACCATAGAAGTCATGCCTCGCTTCATAATATTTGAACAGCATAATATATGTTCCTACTATGGCTTGAAATATCCAGAAAGTAGAAATATCTCAAATAAGAAATTTCCTTTCCTTTGGGTGTTGACCCCGCAAACCTCTGTACCACGTCAAAAAATAATCAGCAACTCTGAAAACATTTAAAATATTAAGTTTGTTGATCTCAATTTTTTCCTTTTTACTTGCTGCAGTACCACCATTGGTGGAGATACATCAAATTTTGTGAAAGAAATCCTAAATACACAAGGTTACGATTTGTAACTAGTTTCATATGACTTTGAAGTTGTCATTAATTTTCAGATAATGATTGTAGAAGGAAGATAAACCAAAATATGTGTGTAAAAATAAAAAAAAATTAAAAAAAAAATGTTACCTTGTTTTATAAAGTATCCTCCCGACAAGTATTTCAGTGCGGACCTGTATTTGATCGTGCGGTCTTGGAGCACCGGCATGAGCTCCCCTGTGAGGTCTTAAGTCACCTGATTCACGAGCCCTTTGTACTACATTAACAAAGGCACGAGGGGTTGGTTGCACTCGATTGGGAAACCGATCCGCAGAAATCCGTGATGCCGCGTAAATAAGAATCATGTCACAAGTTCAGCATTTTCGTAAACATGTGCCATTTTTGACTTCGTTTGAGCCACGCAACAGACACCACTATTCACTCACGCGTTACCGACTGACACTGACTGTATACAACTGAATAAAATAATTGTAGAAACATCGTTTCAAATTCTTTCGCTTTTTTGTTTCCGATGCGATGAACCCATAAGGCAGATTATATCCGTTGTTGCCAAACACGAGCACATAATATTATTATTGAGACAGGGCGGTACTCAAACTTGCAAAGGGCTATAACTTTGTTACTTTAATTTTACCAGAAAAATGGTAAAGGAAAAAAACATTTCTTTTGATCAGATCTACTCACTGTTAAAATAAATGACTCAACTTCGAAGTCACCCTGTAGAACGAGATCTACTTTAGTATACCTCACTCGATATTTTTATAATTATTAATACAGGTTGGTCAAATAATTCAATGAATATTAAATTGTAAAGAATCCAAAGTTATTACATTTGAAGTGTTCTGCGATAGCAGTATCTTTCGGTTAACGTCGTTGGTACCGGATAAGGCGACTCTGTACCGCTGTGGCTGTTCCTACTTTTGGCTGAAGCCAGCGCGTCTGCAGCTCGAGATATATTGGTGCTCTTTGTGCTAGAACCTATGCTGCTCTGCGTGCGCGTATAGTCCACTCGCCTACAAAATATCAGCCAAAGTGATTCTACTGACCCTATACTTGTGAATATCAGAACTACTTATCAATACCGGGTGTTTCAAATTCAACCTTCGCCATTGGCACCTCGGTAACGGCGAGAGGTACAAAGTCGCTTAAATGAGGGCAAAGTTTCGTAAACTAACAAAATTCCGCTTTTCAAGGGCTACGTACGACATTCTATTTTTCTTTAAATAACTAAGGTTTAACAGTGTCAATGTATGACGTATTATACATTTTTGTCTGTGCAAAATCCATTATGGCGTCCATCATAAGAAATAAAACTAGGGGTCGAAAGTGACAATGTTAATACGCGATTTATATTAAAAATAAGGTCACGAAATAATTAAAACG